AAAAACGACAATCCTTTCCCGCGAGACATTCACCGCACACACAATATCATCTCATTAATTCTTCATTCAAGCGTACAGCGCATATTATATACGTAATTCAATGAAACTTGATTAATTCGAATCAATCAAACATTTAGCTCACATTCTTCATTATCAATTTTTTTTTTCAAAAAATTATTCACGGTTCTTTGAGGGTTGAATCTGGAAAAAAAAAAATTTTTATACACAGTAATGGTCCAGGAAAAGTGGGGGGTCATCTTTTAAACGGAGTGGGCGATTTCTCAGTGGTGGGAATAGGGGGGGATTTAAAGCGCGATATATGAACGCGAAACCCAAGACTCTCGCATTCAATATAGCCCAGAAACCCTTGTTGTGTTTGTCAAAAAAAAATCTACCTGACCCTTCACCTAAAAAAAAAAATTCTTTTCTGCTTTTTTATCAGAAAACAAAATCTGAATGCAAATGACACTTCTTTTGAGATAAGGAAAAAGGAGGATTTCAGAAAATAGTGAAATTGTGGATTTTATTTTTAAGCTTTATTTATATAGTGTTTTTTTTTAAATAGATATTTGTGATTTGAAAATTTGAAAATTAGAGAAAAAGAGGACAAGAGAGCGTGAAACGGAGTGTAAATTGTTTTTTGTTTTTTTTTAAATTTCTTTTGTTTTAAACAAAAGGAAAGTGTTCATTGTCGGTGTTTATTGGAAATTAACAAGATGAGCAAATCTTGGAAAGGTTTGTTTTTTTTGTTGAAATTTTTGCATAAGAGATGATCGTGACTTTTTGAATTTCTAAACACGAGAATGACTGGACGAATGTTACAATAATCTAAGTAGATTCTTTTATTATTTTCATGGGAATTAGATCGTGTCAAGGCAAAACAATATTTGATTGTTCAATCACGAAATTATAAATTTGAATATCAATTACAAATTTCGATTTTTTTAATGTTTATAGACATTTATAGATGTTTATGTATTTACTATGGAAATTATTATTTAGCACTTTATGAAAAACTAATCTCAACAAAATTGTTTATTAATTTAATGTTAAATTTAATTTTTAAATTTGATTAATTAATTTAATAAATTTATTCTAATGTTCTAAAAGTTCAAATAAGCGAAAATTATTTATTTTTTCTTCAAATTAAAATTTTTTATTGCAATAACATTGCGTTAGGTATAAAAAAATTAAATTATAGTCTGATAATATTTTTTTTCTTTGTCTTTTCTTTTTTGTTTTTTAATTTTTTTTATATTTTTAATTTTGTTGCAATCAGTAATTTTCGAAAATATTTATAATGAAAAAATATTCGTTTATTCGAACGTTCAAAACTTGTGGTTTATAAAACGTCAGTGAACTTTATAAATTTTATGATCAACGATTAAGAGAAAAAAATCATTTTCATACTTAGAAATAAAATTTGTTGTCTACAAATTTTTCAGTCAAAATAATTTATATAAATTTCCATACAAAATAATTTTTTCTTTTCCAAATTATTATTGAGAAACACTATGAACTTCACCAAAGTAATTTAAAGATTAATAAAAATTATTATTATTAAATTATTATTGTTATTAAACTACTATTATTTTTATTAAATTATTATTATTATTCTAGCAAATTAATATTATTATTAATAACTTCTTTAAATTTTTTACTTTCGTATTTTTTTCTCGGTAGTATTGAAATTTTTTTTTAATTTAAACAAGTAATTTAATTTTCTATGAATCCAAAAATATGTGTACAAAATTTGACAGAATTATTGACTAACGATGAATGATAAGCAATAAATAATAATTGATGATGTAGATCAAATGAAAAATGTCTGGAAAACAGATGTGAATAGATAAAATAAAAATGATAACAACACTTGTGAATAATAATAATAATAATAATAATAATAATAGTATAAATAAATTATTATTGATAAAATTATTAAAAAAAGAAAAAAACACTATAAGAGAATAAAAATAGAAATAAAAATTGAAAATTCGTATAATTTTATTTTAATTCGATATTTTCGTCAATGAAAAACGTATATTTATCGCGTTAGAATTTTTTTTTTATTATTGCTTAGATATTTAATGTGTTTTACAACTATTACGAAATCGATTGTTAAATATGCAAATCAGAAAATTAAAGGAACGTTGCAAATATATTCTCTACTGGGAAGAATCTTTGTGAATTTTAAATATATATTTTAACTTCTTATTCCAAGGTGAATTATAAGAGAAAGAGACGAGGAAAGACTGATCCTAAAAAGAGATCAATAGAGGCTGTGGTAAAATGCCGAAAAATTCACTCCAGACTCTTTGGAGCCTTGATTACCAAGTATTAAAAAATATTTTCTCCTCTACAGCTCATTAGCTGTGATTTTTTTTTTAAATTATAATTTTCATTATTAATTGATTTACGTGACAAATTTATAAAAATAATATTCTTTTTAATTATTTTTTAACATTTGAATTAAAAGGTTTCATTATTTTTTTATTTATACAAATTAAGAGGTTTTTATGCTTAAATTAAAAGGTACCTTTTTATTATTAAATTAAGCAAGTAATAATAATAATAATAATAATAATAATAGTAAGAAAAATAATAATAATTACAAAATGGCTTGCCCCGTCAATAAATAAAATTAAAATAAATTAAATAATAATAGTAAAATAATAACAATAATAAAATAATAAATAATTAATTAAATAAATAAATTGTTAGAATAACTGAAAAATTATCCGTTCAACGTTGTTATTGATGAGGTAACTTTTATTATCAACAATAATAAAAATAATTAAATGCACTTAATGACTTAGTGCTTTTGGTTTAGGAATTAAAAAAAAATTGTTAACATAATTAGCAAAAAATTTATGTAAAAGCAACCGCACATTAAAATATACTAACAATATAGAAACATAATTTTTGTTCGAATGAACATCCACTCATATAAGAATTAATTTTTTCACTTACTTAGTAGTTAATAAAATCTAATTTTAATTTTTCTATTCTTCATTCTAATATTTATGAACATTCGTTATTTAAAACTTAATTAATTGTAATTTAATTTTTATAAAATTAATATTGTTCGGGAAAAAAATTTTAATTCTCGGTGAAAAAATGAAATATGGACTAATTTTAATGAATATTAATAGTATTAGATAAATAATTAATAAATGTTAGTTAATTAAATGTGATTTTTAATTTCAAATTCGAAAAAAGAACCGTGAGGTCGTTCTTCGATTGAAATTATTTACTGCATGCTAATGAAATTATCGAAAGCAATTTACAACTTGCGGGCCTAAAGACATTGATTCCTATTAGTAACAATTGACGACAATATTATTGATTTACACAATTTTTAATATTTATTTATTCAATACTATTTTTGTTATTTGAATCAAAATTTTTTTTCAGAGTAACTTTTAGTTCAAATATAATTGAAAAGTATTTTCCTATTCTATATTTTATAATAAGTTGAAATATAAAAAATAAATGAGAATAGATTGTTTCTTATTTGTGTAAAATTAGAAACGAATATTACATTAAAATAAATAAATAAATAAATCTTCAAAAATTAATTATTCGAATAAGTTTTTAGTTGGTCACAAATAATGATTAACGATTCCCAATAAAAATAATTTTCAAATAATGAAAATAATTTTTTAGCTCGCATAAACTAAATTATTAATAATTACTATAGAAATAATTTCGAAATAGTTTTTCCGAATTTTTCAGTTTGTCTGAAATTATTGCATAAATTTCGAACTGAAAATTCTCATTTGTCACTCTGTGTATAAATATTGTAAAAGTATTATTACTTCGACTATCAATTACAATTACAAATCTCTGATACATTTTGTATATCTATAACAAAGAGTCAATTATTATGATTGGTACAGAATTTCTCATATGAGATTTGAGAGAATGTTTTTACTTTGATTGACTAGATTCTCAATCAATTTGATCAAGTTACAATCAATCAGTTTGAAAAATTGCCAAGACATTTTTATCATCCGGCAACGATCATCCAATGAATCGTGTGGCGCGTGCACGAATGAGTGAAAGTGTTTCATTTCACAGAATCGAATTCATATATATATATAACTATATATACTTACAGTATTATACACTCTCATACAATTGAATTATCATTAAAACCAACACCAGAGAATATTTTTAACAGTCATTTTAAATTTCAAGGTTTACTTTGGGTGAGAATTGCCCGGCAATTATTATTTTACGATAGAATTTTTTTTTGATCCGAAACAGCAAAGGAAAAAAATTTTTTTTAATGTAAAAATACAGTCGAACCTGTCGGAATGCAATTTTGTTTTTATTTTTTGTATTAAAAAATGTCAAGAATTATTTTCAGTTAGTTTCAGAATATTGGAACACAAAAAAAAGTGAGTGTTATTTTAACACTGAATTCGGTGTTAAAAGTGTCTGCATCAAACTTTAGCTCGGAAGTGTTATTTTAACACCGAAAATAAGGTAAATTTTCTATTATAGAAAATTTATCCTCACTAAAATTACCCTACCAAAATTTACCCGCATCAAAAACAACACTCGCTTTTCTCTGTGAAAAATGTTACAACAATTTATTATAAAACTATTTTTTAAGGATTGTAAAATATTTACTGTAATAATATTTTAAAAATCGAATTGCATTCTAACAGGTTTGACTGTATGTAGCGAACCAAAAAAATATGTTTGAATTAAAGGTATTTTACAATTGAAATAAACGTAATTTTTATTCAGTCAAATTTATTATTTATTAAATATTAATTTAATTTAAATTTAAATTTATTAAACTAATAAGTTTGATTATTATTATTTATTAAATATTATTATTGAATCGAACATATTATATTTAATTCAAAAATAATTTTTGGTTGTACGACCCCCATTGAAAAGAATTTATAAAATAGGAGAAAAAAAAGTAAAATTTAAATTTTCTGCAACTTTTGTAATGAATTAATTTTATTTAATTTGAATTTCAGATACGAAGGACTTTGTGGGGCTTGAAGAGGTGTCAAAAGTTGACTTTTTGGTGCCACTTTTTGCCGAAGCACTGGGAACGTTTCTGCTTGTTATGATTGGCTGCGCTTCCTGCATCACATGGACGACTCCAACAACTGTTTTTCATATTGCCTTTACGTTTGGACTTGCAGTTGCCAGTCTTGCCCAGGTAAGTTCAGTTATTTACATAAATGATCCATTTTTTCACTCGAGAAGAGTTGAAAATTTTTTTAAAAAATTTATCACCGCTGTCAAGTTTTTTAATTTTGTAAGCGTCTTTGCAAAATGATTTACACATGTAGGGAAAAAAATTATTTGAATTCAATAATAATCAATTACTTGAGTATTATAAAATAAATATTTACTTGAATCAAATAAATATTTCCTTGAATCAAATAAATATTTCCTTGAATCAAATAAATATTTACTTGAATCAAATAAATTTTTACTTGAGTCTAATAATGTTAGTTAATGTAATAAATATTATTTGATTGAAATAAATATTATTTGATTCAAAGAAATATTTCTTTGATTCAAATAAATATTTCCTTGATAATAGAAAAGTAATCGATTAATTGAATCAAAGTACAAATTTTTTTCTCGTTGTGTATTAAAAAAACTCGGATTGCTTTGCGATGGTTGACCATCAATTATTATTATCAATTGGTCAATAAAAAAAGAAAAAACATGAAATTGAAAACATTGTGTCCGCGCAATAAAAGTACCGATGATCAATATTTTTATTTGAAAATCATACAATTTCTGCGTTTGGGCGTACAATATCGATGATTATATACTTTCCACAATCAATGTTGTTCGCCTTTGCATTTTCTTTTTGTTCTTCCTGGAGAAGAAAAAAAATCAAATTGCGAAAATGATTGCTTTCTTTCGTAAACTGAAAACTTTCATTTAGAAATTCAATTACGACTTTTCCCCCACCTCTTTTGTCCCGGAAGTTTACGCAGAATCAACTAATTTTTCGTATTAGTAGGATTTTTTCGGAAAACGCACTTTTATATTGAATATTAATTATTTCGTTCCTTTTTTCCGTTATACCTTTAATGAAAAAATTATTATTATTATTATTAGTATTATTATTAATAGCATTATAATTATATCAATCAAATTAAAAAATTATTTTTATTATTATTATTATTATTATTATTATTATTATTATTATTATTATTATTATTATTATAGTATTATAATTATTATAACATCATATTATTAATTTACAGAGTAAATTATTTATGGAAGTAATAATAAATTACAGAATATTATTAACGAAAAATGTTCAATTTAACATTTTTTTAATTCAAATTGTTTATCAGAGAAATTTCCCCCCTGGAATGAAATTTTATGAAATGTTTCTTTTTCAATATATTAACATTTTCTTTTCACTGTTCAACCCTAAATTCGTTTTATTTTCTTTTAACGCAATGTAACGATCATTTTACGTCATTGATTCATCAAAAAAAAAAAAAAAAAAGAAAAGAAACACTTCGTGACTATTGTAAGACATTTCTGAAATCTAATCTTCCCATAAATTATAGACCCCAGAAGCTAATTTTTTTTCTTCTTCATTTTTTTGTTGATATTAATAATATAGTCATTAATTTTACTGGGAATAATTATTATCAAAAAAAATAATAGTTGGTGACTTATATAAAAAAAAGAGTACAATAATCATGGGCAGAACTAACGATCAAAATGATTACGAATCTATTTTCTTTAATTCGACATTAATCTACACCGTAGTAAGGAAGTTGAGTTTTGGTGTATAAATTTAATATTTGAGGAAGAATGTAATTTTAGTTTAATAATACACTTCTTTTCTGAATAGTAAAATGAATAATAGAGTGTCAGAAATCTTGAGTCTTTGTTTTTTTAATTGACCGTATCTTTGTTGATCATTAATATATTCTTTATTTAAAGTAGTTTTTTTTCTTTTTTTTTTTGTTAATTAATTTAATTAATATCGTATTCTTCGATTCTTCGTTTTAGAAATCGAAGGCGATTTTTAAAATTATTAAATGAAATATTGAGGGAATATTTTATTTATATATTAATATTGCGCGCAGTGGTAAATCAAGGTGGAATTTTTTTTTCTCGATCTTGAGATATATTTTCAACAAAGTCTTGTTTAACGCATAATCAGTGAAAAGTGAGTTATCTTAAAATTTGCATAACTTACGAAATACATGAAAAGAATGATTGCTGCTGTTACAAAGGACACTTATTTTTAAAAAGAATTCCAAAATTCAAGGTTATAGCGGACAAAATATGGCTTTTTTTAAAAAAAATTAGGGAAATGAATTTTTAATACCTAAAATTCATTTATTTATCGTGTCACGTTTTCGGTCCGACTTTCACAGAAAAAAGTGAGTGTCATTTTAACACTGAATTCGGTGTTAAAAGTGTCTGCATCAAACTTTAGCTCGGAAGTGTTATTTTAACACCGAAAATAAGGTAAATTTTCTATTATAGAAAATTTATCCTCACTAAAATTACCCTACCAAAATTTACCCGCATCAAAAACAACACTCGCTTTTCTCTGTGTTTGATTTCAATCCGGAAGTCAATTTCTTTTTCGCTATTTCTGGGAATGGGTATAATTTTTATTCAAATTTTGACCTTATTTATTCTCTTTTCTTCTATTATTTGTACAATGGAAAAAAATTGTTTGATTTATGTAACCGATTACTTGTCTATTATCAGAGAAATTTTTACTTGAAACACAAATTTTATTTGCTCTGTCTAAATTTGAATTAGTAAAAATGTTTCCTAATTTGAAGTATCGGCTAATTTTTTGCTTTTGAATTAGTAAATTTTTCTAATAAATAGTAATTTCCACTATAAATTTTTTAGTAAATTTTACTAATAAATAATAATTTTTACTAATTTTTAAAAAAAATTCACTAATTCCAAGAAAAAAGTCTGAATTAGTAAATTTTACTAATAAATAGTAATTTCTTCCAATTTTTTTTTGTAAATTTTACTAATAAATAGTAATTTCTACTAATTTTTTAATAAAATTTACTAATTCCAAGAAAAAAGTCTGTCACTTATTCAAATTAGTAAACATTTTTACTAATCAAAATTTAGAGAGAGAAACAAATATTTACTAGAATCAAATAATTTTTATTTAAATAAATAAATTGTATTTGGACCAATAATTTTAGTATTTGAAGCAAATACGATTTAATTGACTCACGCAAAAATTATTTAAATAATAATTATTTTATTCTTGAAAAATAAATATTTATTTGATTTACTCGTCTATTATCAAATAAATATTTATTTGAATCAAATATTTTTTATTTAAATTAATTAAATTCTATTTGCTTCAAATACTGAAGTTATTGGTTTAAATAAACAATTTATTTGATTTAAATAAAAATTATTTGATTCAAGTAAATATTTAATTGAAAATAGTTAATAAATTGGTTATTTGATTCAAATAATTTTTTTTTCAGATATTAGACAAGAAATATTTTATTTGAATCAAATAAATGTTTTTTCGGTTTAGAATAATTATTATTATATTTGTAATTATAGTAAAAACTTCTACTAATTTTAATTAGTAGCTGAATTTTTGCTTTTGAATTAGTAAAATTCACTAATAAATTAGTAGAAATTACTATTTATTAGCAAAAATAGTAATGTACTAATTTTCTATTTTAAAATTTAGTAATTCAAAAGCAAAAAGTGAGTCACTAATTATATTAAATTAGTAAACATTTTTACTAATTCAAATTTAGAGAGATTGTTTATTATAAATATAATCGTAATCGTGGAATGAATTAATTGATGTAAATTAATTTATTAAAACCTTGTTACTATTTAAATCAGGAGTAATAAAAGTCAGTGATTTTGGTAGTTCAAGTCTTTTAAAAACCGTTTCAAGTTCAAAGGTATAAATCTCACCTGATAATCATCGGCATTTACAAGGATCTCAAACGATTCGTACATATATATAAAGAAAACTTGCAAATTTCAATGGCGCAATTACATTTCTATAAAAAATTCCCAAGACTCATTACTCTTCCTTTTTTTATTTTTAATCCGAGAAAAAAAAAATTCGGAGAAAAGTTAGGGAAAAACAAAATCTAATTTTTTATCACTTTTTTGTGCTTTTTTTTTAATTGAAAAAAGAAATATTAATTAAAATTGAAAGAGAGGAATTTTAATAGTATTGAATTTCGAAAAATGTCAATATGGTTCATCTGCAGTGAATATAGAAATGGGAATAAATTCTAGACTCGATTCGTCAAAAATGGCAGATGACTAATGAAGCGTGTGTTGTGTGCGTATAGTTGAGTGCAGTGATAGTTAAAAAAGTAACCAATGAGTATTATATCTGACAAGCGTGTATGTAGGTAGAAGGGTAAATAAGGCCGCGGATTCGCCCAAGGGGGTTTTAACTGTCAGAATTGTGTAATTTTGCCCCCAAGGCTCTAACAATCCATTCGCCTTTTCTTTCTTTTATAATATAAAACTTGCCCGAGTCATTCCCAGACACTTTGACTCTTCAAGTTCTCGGCATGATTCACTTTTTCTTCTTCTTCTTCTTCTTCTTCTTCTTTTTACTTATTATCACTTTCTTTCAGAAAATCATTTCCATTCATGTCAATAAATCTGCATTATTGGAGTAAAAAAAATTTAAACAGTTGAAACAGAATAGTACAAAGAATGGAGAAATCGAACGGGTTAAGCACTTTATAGTAGGGTTCGTACTCGGAGGGGTGTCCCTTATTTGCTTCACTGTTTTTTCTATAAAAAAAAAAGTTATGTTACTTTGAAATTTATAATTACACTGAAAAAAAATTCTTTGACTCAACTAACCGATTACTTGTCTATTATCAAATAAATATTTACTTGAATAAAATCAATTTTTATTTAAATCAAATTAAATCAAATACTGAAATTATTTATTACATTTGTTTATAAGAATTAAATTACTTTCATAAATAATAAAATTCATGGCAAGAATTCAATTATTTTTAATAGAATTTGAATTAAATTATTCGAAATAATTGAATTATTCTCTTAAATTTGCGGAAAATGATTTTAAAACATCAATTATTTAAAAAAGTAATGAAATTCGTCTGCAGGAATTTAATTTTTTTCATGAATAATAAAATGTTTTACAAGAATTGAATTATTTTA